CGGCACCATCTTGGAAGACTTCGTAATAACCGCCAGAATCATCTATTTTGATCACGTTCTATAAATTCAGCGAACAAACTCACATAAGCATTTTGTTTCGGAACGAACGAAATCTGACATGGTAACTCACACTGCTGTCTGTCGTGGTTTTATTAACTTCAACTGGCTTTATGCATGCCTGAGAGGGGGCAATATAGTCGTTAAGATCTTTTAGTATTACAGACATTGAGTGAGATCTTGAAGTACTGCAGGTGTTGCTGAAGACGACATAACTTTTTTTATGGGAAATTTTTTTTTAATGATGGTAATTTGATAATCCGAGTTTGGATAGTAGATAAGATCATCTGATCTTTTGGCTAAAAATGTAATAAACGCATTGTGATAACACTTTTGCACACAAATTTTATCATTCAGTATGTCCGGCAACTTTATTTCCCGTTGCGCATCCAAACTTTTCCCTCAGTAAATCATATTTTCGTTTATCAGTTTTAGATACACTTGATGCCACCTTATTAAATGCTATTTCAAAATGACTAGAATTTACGTAAATTTCGTTATTTTGCTCTGAATGATTTTCATTCCCAGAATACAGGGTAGCTCGCAATGCTGCAACCGCAGCTTCGCGAACAAGAGACGCCAAATCCGCTCCACTATAAATAATTAACAATAAGTTAACTTCGAATACCATTCACCAACTATTGGCACTAACACGAACCTGAAATCCGTGCACCTTGGATCTTGAGCAATATTTTCTAATGACACATCATTGTCCAAGGGTGTCAACTTGGTCAATGTTTTTAAAATTTCCGTCCGCTCTGATGCTGTGGGCAATTCTACATACAAAAGCTTGTCTAGCCGACCGGGACGCATCACTGCTGGATCGATTATGTCTTTTTGTGAAAATAAGTCGTTTGGTAAGTTGAAGCGTGGTACATCTGAGATCACAATGTTCTTCTAGATACCTGGTCTGTTAGTCGCGGCTATAACATAAACCTGTTTTCGATTTTCCAAACCATCCAGTTCGGTCAGAAGTGTATTGACCACACGTGCTGAAGCTTCAGACTACCCGAAACATTTACTCAATATTAATCGAATGTGATGTTCATATCATGCATGTTTAAACCGTGAAAATAAAACCTGAGTGTCATCCCGTCGTGCACATAACGCATCAAGTTCGTCAAAAAATATAATACATGGCGAAGAAGCCCTAGCTCTGATGAACACTTGCCTAACGCCACGCTCGCTTTCACCCACATACTATTAATCACAAAGATGCATCTTAGGTGATCAGGATATTTGATACACACACAATAATAATAATAATAATAATTAACGTTCAGGATGAATGATCGTGAAAAACAACACCTTATTTAACAATTCCGGTCCCTTGACTGAAATAAAATTGGTGTGACTCTCATTAGCCACCGCTTTGGCCAAGAGTGTTTTTCCGCATCCGGGGGGTCCCCATAACAAAACTCCGGACGGTGCGATAATTCCAACTTTTTTGAAAAATTCGGGATGCTTGATCGGCTCCACGATTGCCATTCTCAATTCGTCCCTTACAAATTTTAATGCACCAACATCCGCCCAAGTAACATCTGGCACGGTAGCAAATCCTTCACGTTTCGACGATGGTTGGATTTTCGAAAGAGATTGTAAAAAATCTTCGTTGGTGATGCTCAAAGGTTCAAGCTCCTCTTCGGTGAGTGGGTCTGGGTGGTTTCTCAAAAAATTGGATATTGATCGCATTTGATCCGTTGGCGATTGATTTTCAAACGAGGTAAATAAATCCCGTGATGAATTTGCATTCAGTGATTTTTCATCAACGCTCATGGCCGATGAACCATTGCCATCAGTTTCTGTAAAATGATGTGTTTCACCCAACTGAGTGAATATTCGTTTCACGGCTAAAACACCAGCTGCTGTTGTCAGCGCGCTCAGATCTGCACCAACATATCCGGGGGTTAATTTTGCAAGGTTTTGGTAATCAAAGTCCCCTGAAAGCTTTAATTTTGAAGAGATAACTTTTAAAATTCTACAAACAAGAAAATATATTATTAATAAATTAACGCGTTGTGTATAATAGAGTTCTTAAGACAGGATATAATACTTTTCTCTTGCTTGTTCATCAGGAACTCCCATGCCGATTTCTCTATCGAACCTTCCAGCGCGACGAAGCGCCGGATCTAAAGAGTCTGGCCTATTTGTCGCCCCAATTATTAGTATAGGTAGGTTATTGGTTTTGTCCCAAGATAAATCTACACAGTGGATAATCAACGCTTAGTATGTAAGAAACTTGCGAGATAAATGCAACTTTAATGTTCAAAAGTAAAACATACCATCCATGCACGTTAGAAGCTGAGCGACAATTCTTCTTTCCATCTCGCGTTGAGCTGTTTCTCTCTTTGGAGTGATGGCATCTATTTCATCAATAAATATGAGGCAAGGTGCCTTCTCCTATGTATTCAGCACAAACAAAGAGGCAGGCTATAATTGTACTATACATTCTGCTAAAGATAAACCAAAGTCTGATTATCTAACGCATACTTTGGCCTCATCGAAAATTTCTCGGATCTTCTTTTCGGATTCTCCGGACATTCCAGATACTATTGATGGCGCCGAAATGCTTAAGAATTGTACTCCTAATTCCTAATAGTAGTAGAGGTCATGTATGATTCACTGCGTGTTCTTCTGATTGGATTAGAATCAATTGGAAATTACCCCCGCAATGGCGTTTGCCAGAAGTGTTTTCCCACACCCAGGAGGACCATGCAACAGGATTCCTCTACGGGATTTAATAATTAGTAATGATTACTATATTACGATGAATTTCGTTAGCGACAGGTTACTATACTAACCTTGGTGGTTGGACGCCTGTGTGCAAATAGATCTCTGGATGGGTCAAGGGCATGGCGATTAACTCTAGGACTTCTTCAATACAAGAATCAACTCCCCCGAGGTCTGATAACCTCGCAGTCGGCAAAGTTGCATAATGAACATCCGTAACTTCTATAAACAAATAGTTAAACAATCAATTCATTTATCAATACTTCTTTCTTCTTCGTACCTTTTGATTTTCCGGATCCGGCTTTTTTCGTCATTCCCTTAGTCTTGAGGGTAAAATCTACTTTGTTTTCACGTACCTCAACAACTGGATTGCTTGAAGCTTTGATTGGACTGGAATTTGTTATGATTGGTTTGGGCGATTCAGTTGGTAATGGGCGATACTGTGACCATACTTTTGTTATAGAGTTATTCATGAAATTTGTGTCCTTGATTTTAATAATTAGAAGTAGTATACGTATTGGATAATGCTTGCATGAATTCCGATTAGAACAAAAAATATTTATAAAGACCTTGACTTCCATCAATTGGCTCGGTTCTAGTCCTTCAAATTCCATTGCCTCCGAATCATCGTTGTCAGAAGTTATTTCAGAAGATTCGATTTCCGAGTCATGACTAAAAGTCGAATAATTACTGAATAATATATGCATTCTGATTCATCTTCCCAAAGCAAAAGGGCCGCTACCAACCTTTTTGACACGTTATCTCCAGGAATCGAGGGGCTTTCATGTTGTTCCTCAATACTTTGGTTCTTTAACGATTTTAATACTACAATTAAACATTCTTTGTAAATTCTTCTTCCAGAAAACTTGCCGATCCATTCCTTCATTTTCACTACAATAAATTCTATCCAAAATCTAGTATTTTATTGTTACCTCGATCGATACTTTTCTCTAGTTGTAATTTTTTCATTCGTTTAAATCTGAAATCCGCATTTTGAACATATTCAAACACCGTTGTAGATGTAATTTCCCTGTCTTTATCCTCCTGTCTGATTTGTTTTATGTAAGACACTAATCGAGTATCTATGTCATTGGTTAGACGCGTGCGTTTTTTTACAGGTTTCTTTGGCATTTGACGCGAATATTATGAATATTATTATGTGATGGAATCCATCTGCTTTTTCATCTATGTATATGCAGAGTCCGGAGGAAAAAACTCCGGGTGCTCCCATTAATTAATTAATATTATTAAGTAATTAAATTTTGGTTTCGATTGTCATAAAATCGATATATCGCTTGTTCGTATCAACATAAGTTTTCTAGTAATGTAATTTATAAATAAAAATTTTAAGATTATTTACAATAGATTAATTTTTTTTGAGCAAACTTTGGTTTGATTTGTTACATCAATGTACAGATATTCAAATAAAAAATAAAAATAAAAATAAAAATAAATACTATAGGATTAATAATATATCTTTTTTTTTAATACTAAATAAAATTTTTTTTATAACTTTATCGATTATAAAATAATTAATAAAATACATTTAATAAAATCAAAAAAAGAATGAAATATATAACTATATATATTTACATACTATTATTAACAGATATATTATTTGAAAAATCTTGAGACAAGAAAAACCTAAGGAACTATCTATTACAAAAAATAAAAATAAAAAACATTTTGAATTTAATTATCATATTATAAAAAGAATATAAAAAGTTTAATTAAAAGAAAAAATATGTTTAAGTAATAAGATTATTTATATACTTTGATATGTCTCTCAAATATATAATCATATAAAGCATATAGTTGATATTTATAATAAAAAAGGTATTGAGATAATAGAATTTGAAAGTATATTATCTTTTGTTTAATAATTTTTCCTATAAAGTATAGATTCAATATATCTATTTAGATTCAAGGCTTTTTTTTTTACAGTTGGATATGATTTTAATAGCAATAGCAAAGTACTGGTATAAATTATCAAATTATAGAACATAATTTTCTAGTATTTTACTTTTACTCAAAATAAAAATTCTCTTATTTATATTGATTAAGCTTTAATTGTATTTTTTCTTTAATAGTAATATTGTTACTTATGGAATACAATTTTATTATTGAAAATAATAGATAAGCTTGTATGGTTGGATATTATATAATATAATAGTATTTTAAGTATATTGATAAGTCATGTAATTAAAACCTATATAAGGTACTAACATTAATCAAAATAGTGCCATTTGATATGCTGCCACTTATCAAACATTTGAATATAATTATTTAATATAATATTACTCAGTAACAATTTGGCATATACTGAATTATAAAATAATATTTTATTTTTTGTAAATTAATTATAATAAAATA